AAAACAAAACAACTTTTTGGTTTATAGTTAACAGATCTCATCACAGAAAAACTAATACAGAAAGCAAGAATAAAGTGCTTTTTGTAGCATTTTTTGGTAGTCCTGTCATTGCAGGGTCATCTTTTCCTATAGGTATGTCCACACATCAAATCCAATGATGGATTCTCTGAGATGGGGCCCAGGAATGTGTATTTTATAAAAAGCTCTTTTTATAAAGGACTATAAACCTAATCTCTCTTGTTCTTCTCTTTCGCCATTATTTCTTAATAGCAGCTTATTTCCAGAAGAGAATATTCTTGTCCTACAAGGATTCCTCCCTAGTTCCTATTCAGGTAATTGGCTGATTTTAGAACCATGGTCACTTATCTGATCCCAGAATCCTCACCACCATCTGTGGCCACCTTACCCGAACATGTGGCTGCAATTTCCTTGTTACCAGCATCAGGTGCATGGGCCCAGGGGTTGGTCTCACGCACAGGCATTGCTACGGGTGCTAGAGCAGTATGGGCTGGCTTAGCAGCAAGCACATGGAAGGCTGGGTCAGTGCCATTAGCTATAATGGGAGCAGACAACATCAATGGAGTTAATACATGCAGGGTGTACAAGTGATCCCTTGGAGCTGGGTCAGTCAGACCAAGATACTATACTGGTGGAATGGATAAGACAGAAGAGTTGATGTTAGGGTAACCATGCTGTCTTGCAATGGATACATATACCTTTAGGCCAGTGGTTCTCAACCTTCCTAATGCCGCAGCCCTTTAATATAGTTCCTGTGGGTCAGGACCCACAGGTTGAGAACTGCTGCTTTAGGCAAAGAGGGAATTAGAGGTTATAATTAAAATGATTGTACTAGGAAAATATGTGCATGGGGAGAAGGAAAATGAAGCCCCAAACAATTTCAAGTTAAGTTGAACAGAGCTGCACTTAGCCTTTGGCATAATGAAGTAGATAAAGCATTTCCCTCTTCTACACTTTTCCAAGGCCAAATTATGCCAGTAATAATGGGCTAGATATAATGATTACTTCTTGTTTCCCTCTCAAAACTTAAAATATACACATACACACACATTCACATATAAAACAATTCTTTATTATGTGTCAGACACTATGCTAACAGCACTTTATATGCATCATCTCATTTAGTTCTCTCAAAATCTCTATAAGACTGGTACTATCTCTATATTACAGATCAGAAATCAAACTTGATAT